ACAATGTGATTTCCGTTAGTGATCATGTGATCTTCGGTTAGGAGATCTTGTGATGCTTTTTAAAGCAAAGTTGGGGTTGATTTCGAGTTCACATACAAACATAAATAGAATAGGCTAATTACATTTGTCTTTTAATGTAAGACAACATATTTTTCGTCAGTGATAGAAATATGATTTAAGATGGTAGTGTAAGCAAGTCTAGTTTAATAACATTTAATAAAATAAGACACAATTAGACAATATTTGAATAAAATAATAATAATAAATATTTTTTGCAACAACTGATGGAGTACTGAATGCTGCACCCACGCGCAGCATTGTCAAGGTAACATTTGGTCAGTCATTCCCTTCACCGAGGGAGTTTCAAATGCTTATACGAGACCGTAATACCCTGCACCCTTCAAGGGCTCTGCCCTTCGTAGGGCATAGGGATGCTCACTTCTGTTTGGAAATCGCCGCATGTCTCTTGTGTCACCGCAGAGGCGCGGACGCGCTCTCTCGTTTCATTCAAATGCAGCTTGCCGTCTTGCATCTGTTTTTGATTGTATTGAAAATGAAATCAGAGGAATTTAGTATTAATACTACTATAATTTTGCTGTAGTGATCATATTGTCCTGACGATTGTTTTGTACACTGTTCATAATGGATTTATAAGATTTCAAAACATTAATCTCAATTCAATATTTCATATCCCCGTATTTATATATTATTTTAGGTAAACAAAAAAAAAATCAGTGTAATAAGTTAGCTATAAATATACAATATATAATCCCTTAAATGTCAACCTGATAGTTTGAACATTCGTTCGTCTTGGCTCAAAGCCACTTGCTGAGAACTTTTCTTCGCGGAAGCTTTGCGTTAAACAAGTGAGATAACGAAATATTTAATCTCTAATCAATATTTTTTGTCCAATTATTTGCCCAGTAATTTTGGTATTGAGGTAAAAGTTACCTTGCATTCGCTATATAACAGTGGGTGGTGGTCACGAAGATGACTGAGCAAATTTGATGCGTTTCCCCCTTTTGCAGCGACTTTCTTCTTGCAAGATCAGCAGACAGGGTGACCGTCCTCGATTAAATTGCCTTCAGGACTCTTGTAAAAGCCAAAATACGACCAGACCACCGATTTGGTCCTCTTAGATGGCTGAAAAATCTCCCAAGCGCTGTCGCTGCCTTCTGCCATTTCGTCTCGTGCAAAAAACAACAACAACAACACTGCATGCTGCTTCTGCGTCAGACTGATGTTGGCTGGACAGGATTTACCGCGAATTTACAAAATTGCGATAATCAAACACGGTTTTGATGATAATTAAATTTTAAATGCTAATACTAACCGTCAGGGCATTTTATCGTGATTTATCGTAAAAACCGGTAATCGTTACATCCCTAAATCTGACATAGAGACCAGACAATTATTTTAATTACTATTATTATTAGAGATTTAAATTAGGCACTGATATTAAAATTATTGGTTATCCAGTGAAATCTCAGACTCCTCTGGTGACGTATGCCAGACTTCTCCAATCATTTAGTTTGTTTAAGCCCACCCCTTTCTTACAATCGAGCTCGCATTCAGAGATGCGTCCATCCAATTAACGGCCGATGGACGGAACAAAGTCCCTGGCCTACATTCTTTTCTTTCTTCTGATAATCTGTATTATTTGGATTTATGTCACAATACGGAAGAAAACATCTGCTGCTAATTCTGTTATATTGCAACTTTAAGTATCCAACATTGACTGATTTGATAAATAAAAAAACTCAGTCAATAACCAATATAGTACCAATATATCATGCGGTGATGTTTTTATGTGGTTAGAAAAATAATATACCCACATATTAACCACTGATAATCAATTTCAAGAGGCAAACATTGTCTGACACTGCTGCAGACGGATACCTCTATCACACTGACATCTACCTGACGGATAACATTACTCAGCAGAATTCATGCACACAGGTCTACAATTAATCACAACAGACACTTATGATGAAGAGTAAGTTGAACTTGCATCACGTCATTGCATACCTGGGTGAGAGCACAAAGCTTAATGGTGTTTGGAGGTTTTCCTATGTATGTGACAATGTGTTTTTGTCAGCTTGGACATGTTTGTCCTTACCCTAAGCTTGACGTGTGTGCGTCTGCGTAGCCACTTCTCCCTCGGACTTGAAGGTGAGAAGGGGGCGGAGTCAGAGTTGTCCATCTCTTGAGCTTTCACATAGTCACAGTGCATCACCTGTCAATCAATCACACAGATATTAGTAACCAATCATTATTGTTATAACAAGGCTATGCAACCTCTAAGGGAGGTTAAAGGTGAAATGTGGAATTAGAAGCAGCACACAGAATTGCAATTGTTTTCCAACAGATAACAGGTTTCCTGCCTGCCCTTGGTTAAAAAACAGGTTATCCCACCTTAAATGTATGCCATTGGCTGAGACAGATGCTGGAATGTTGGACTACAAACAACTTCTAGTAGTAGCTGCACATTATCCTTGGATAGAAATTATACAAAATGGACAGTAAAGTATGGATTGTATGTGGTGTTAAATCTATGAATCAGTAGTATTGTCCTTTTTTCTTAAGGGATGAATAGTCAAGTTGTCATCATTTTCCATCCATGCGTAAATAAGAAAAGCTATTTTCCTCAAGGATGAACAACACAACATTCTATAAGTGCTGCTACTGCACAGGTCTGACTGATTCAGAATATATATATATATATATATATATATATATATATATATATATCCCTCAGTGGATTCAGTTGTAGATGAAACATTTTTGTTTTGAGCATTTGAGCCAGGTCAAGGAGATTGTGTTTCTTAGTTTTTCATCTTACTCTTAAGGCTTGAGGATTTGTGATAGCTGTACTTTAGAACCTAAATCTTTGCAAAATCATGTAAAATTTTGACTTTATTGTATGCAGACTGTCTTTGGAGGCCTTAACCGAATACCAGTGACATAAGTGATCATTTTTCCCATTCAAATTGATGTTACAGTCATAGCCAATCATAACATATTCGATTGTTTAATAAACCGCCATGTGGATGAAGTGGCTGGACCAATAAGATTTCAGTGTGGGTGGGGCTGCCCAGTGTAATGAGGCAGAAATAGAAATCACATCATGTCTAAGAGAAGGTGTCAGTCTCACGTCAGTGCTGTCATTGAACTGAAACAGCAAATTCGCTTGTTGAAATAAAGCTGAAATGAAATAAATTATAAATATTAGATGAAAACTTGAACTTCGAAAAACTTCACCAATGAGAAATGTTGCCTTAGCAATATACTGAAATCAAATAAGTTTAAGCTGAAGTACTAAAATTACTAAAATTAAAATAAAATAAATCTGAATAGAAACAAAAAATTATGAAAATAATAAAAGCACAGAACAAAATGACTAAAATTAAAATGAAAACTGAAACATGAAAATCAAAAAGGTAATTAAAAATAAAAACTATAAATAGTAAAATAACAGTCACATGTCACTTGAAGTAACCATGAAAAAATACAGAGAAATCCCCAGTTTTTCCATACTTAACAACCCATATTTAAATCTCTGAATGATTGTACACACTTTGGCAAGTCTCCATCTTTTCACATGACATTTCAAAATGTATAAGTGGTGTGTAATGACTTGATCATGTCATAATGGTGGCTACAATAACAGCTTTCCGTTTAACAGGTCCTGAGGAACACCAAATACACAAAAGGAGAACACAAACAAATTAGACCAAATACATAAATCATGAAACCAAAAGCACAACATTTGCACACAGATAACACCACTATCTGACATGTGACCCCTAAATCAAACACTGCAGCTGGAAATGTTGTCAGCTCTATTTCTCTCCTTCACGCAGGCAAAGACAATTCTGAAGGAGCTGCATTCAGAAAGATAGATTGGTCTATGATTTGCCTAAATTGACTACTTCCTCTCCACCAGTGCCGAGGCCGCTTCTTAAGAGTGAATTTAATAAGAGGTGCTATTTGCATTTGACACTCTAAAGTGAAGCCCGTGTACATCTGCATTGAGAACTACATTAGTGATTTGATCTTCAAAAGTCTCTGAAAGTGAAGGATGTGCCACATTTATTTGTCTCTCAGTCAGAGGTACCGCTGATATGAATAAAAAATGCATATTAGAATAAGATACAGTCCTTTGGGTGAATCGAAATTTCCAGCACAGAAGACAGAGAGGAAGGAAGGGCACAAGTTAGGAACATATTAAGAAGAGCGGACAGTGAGAAAGGGACTCTTTTGATAAAGGACAGATAGAGGTTGTGAGAACAGGGTATCTAAAATCTTTCTTTGGTGAAAGGCAAGTCCTGCAGTCTTGTCACGTAGGACTAATTTGATTTCTCTGACATGAGGAGAGCAATAGTCAGGGAGTCCGAAAGTTATTTACATTTCTTTGACCTTAAAGATGCACAATAAAACAAATGCATAAAAAAATACAATGGCTGTATCAAACTCCTACGAAGTTCAGGGTGGTCCTCCACACAACTCAGGATGATTTGAGGTGTCACTGTCCCATAGCAAAATGGAAAATGATTTTGACCTTTGTTCCATGTTTAATGGGAATGGCACTGAATGTACCTGTCGCAGAAGGAAGGCGACCACATCAGTGGATTCCCAGTAAGACGCGTGGAACAGATGAGGAAGAGCCACTGTGGGGAATGATGTCAGAACGTCCGGACAGTACAGAGCGTAATCCAACCGCTTAGACCCCCACCAGCTACTGGAAACTATCACACACACACACACACACACACACACACACAAAACACAGTTTGGTTAATACACACTACTGTTCACATTTGTTTGAAATCAGTATGATTTCTTTAATGTTTAAAGCACGATAAAAGCAGGTACCTGGCAAACACATAACTTTCAGTTACTACTGGGAGGACAGTGTCACCTAATTAACATTCATAAACTAGAATGACAGGGTTTATAATGTGCTTCCCCACTTTTAAGACCATTTTTATGCCCTTGTTTAAAAGAGAAAAACATATAATAGAGAATAAAGCTAAACATTATTGCACACTTGCCTCTACTGTACCATTATATATATATCTCATCAGAGACAGACAGATCGTATAAGAATAAAGCAGTGCCAATAAAACTGCCATGTTTTGGACTAATAACTGCCATTATGCCCTTTCTCTGCAGCTGAAATATGATCTACTTGAACAGAGATACACTGCAGCAGCCCTTTTGGCAGCATAGCGAGCCCTTAACACTGCATTGCTTGGCTGGAGCGCAAAAATCATCTCTAATTTTTTTATCTCTAATGGTTTGCGCAGTATGGAGTGAAGAGCAGGTCTGACAAAAGACCAAAGAGCTTTAGATATACTTAGTAAGAGAGTTCAAGTTTGTGCCCGGAGCTCGCCCACCCGCTGCCCACTCACTGTTGGTGATGGTGCTGCTCAGCCTGCTCTCCCAGCAGCCTGAAAACTGGCTGTCCATGCTGGTCAAACTGGACCTTCGGACCTCTCGGCCCACCCGCCCACCTGCACTGTGCTCCGTCTGGGGAGAGGAGGAGTGCGGAGCGCCCACAGGAACCGTGCTCCCGGGCAGGAATACATCAGGGTAGCTGTGGATTTCATCGACTGGAGAAAAAACAGATCATGATGGTGACAGTTGGATATGTAGATTAGGGTTGGATCAATATCAGAATTTTGGCTTCAGTACAATATCTGCTGCCTCTGGTACTAATAAAGAAGCAATGCCTTAGACAGAAGAAACAGCAATGGGTGACTGATGAAGTGAAACTAGGGTTGCCAACAGAATCTGTCATTTAATGCCAATATTACCTTCTTTTTTTTTTGTAATTAACACATTTTTTAAAAGAAAGATAAAACTAATGTTCAAGTATTGGGTTCAGTACTTAATTTGGAAAGTATCTGGGAAATGAAAACCCTACTGTTAAACCAAAGCTGCAATAATACAACAATTCTCTACATTTTATTTTTTCATGTGATTGTCTTTTCATTAATGTCTCAACAACTTAAATTACATTGGACCAGCTTTGTTAAACATCTATCTACAAAATTAATTTATACAATTTCAAGTGATAATATAAATTAATATACTAAATTATAGTAATATAAATTAATACAATTGATATAAAGTTCAATTTATATTAAATTAAAAAATACATATTAATAGATTTTCTATATATACAATTTCAAGTGATAAATAACTGATAGGTCATAATCTGTCTCATTTTAGGGATTTTCTTTGATTTAATGGAAAGACTGTGAATATAAATGCATATGCAATATGTGTGTTTGTGTGTGAGAAAAACAGAAAGAAAGAGAACTGGTACGATTACAGACAACACCACACCATGACCCAGAATTGCCTGTTTAAATTGAATTTATAAAACCCTCAGCCACTGCACAACCAAAACAACAAAAACCTCCCTTTCACTCTCAATATAACTCACCACAACGTCAAACTATGTTTGTGCAATGGCCCTAAATTCTTCCTGACAGGGATCAAGTGCTCTCCTTTCCTCCCTCTTTGAGAACACAGAATGACATGCAGGCAGAAATTCTTTAAGTGCCCACCTTGGCTAATCTGTCCCTTTATATGCCTGCTGCCTTGTGCACACATGGCCTGTTATTTCTGACAGGGGTAAATTGAATTCGTTTTCATTAGTACAGCAGCCTGTGCAGAAAACACCCCATTAGGTTGGCCCACATTATGGGCACAACCACATGCACGTGTAAGCGGGAATATGTGTGTGTGTGTGACATTGGCAGCTGTGTGCCACTGACCACTACAGGTGGTGAAGAGCACCTCTCCTCTGTCATTCCAGCAATTGGCTTCTCTCATTTGCCACTGCCATGGGCTCACAAATGGCCAGGGCTTCGATTATGATGGCAGTCACTGAAATGTGGGGGGATGGTTGAATGTCTGTAACAGACAGGAGTGTAGGATTCCAAAAAGCGAGGGGAGGACACATTATAAATCATATCAGCTTATTTTCACAAGTATGACACCATTTTAAATGCCTAGTTGCCACAGATACTCATATAGAAAGTTTCCCTAACACCCGATGTACTTGCTATATCGCTAGAAGAATGGCATCTATGCTAATATTAGTCTGTTTCTCTCTTATTCCGAGGTCACCGTAGCCACCAGATCCAGTCTGTATCCAGATCAGATGGTCACTGCAGTCACCCGGATCCAGTACGTATCCAGCCCAGATGGTGGATCAGCACCTAGAGAGGACCTCTACCGCCCTGAAAGTCAGCAGAGACCAGGACAACTAGATGAGCCCCAGATACAGATCCCCAGTAAAGACTGTCTCCGACGGCCACCGGGACAAGACCACAGGAGCCAGTTGAGTCCTCTGCACAATGTGACTTTGCTGCAGCCTGGAATTGAACTGCTGGTTTCGTCTGACCAGAGGAGAACTGGCCCCCCGACTGAGCCTGGTTTCTCCCAAGGTTTTTTCTCCATTCTGTCACCGATGGAGTTTTGGTTCCTTGCCGCTGTCGCCTCTGGTTTGCTTAGTTGGGGACACTTCATTTCCTGCGATATCGTTGACTTGATTGCAAAGATATTATTTAAACTGAGCTGGATGTTGACATCACTGAATTCAATGATGAACTGCCTTTAACTGAAACTGAATTCAATGATGAACTGTCTTTAACTGAAAAATGAGTGTTTACTATTGTCACTTTGCATTACTGACACTATTTTGCTAATTAATGCTGTACAGTTGCTTTGACACAATCTGTATTGTTAAAAGCGCTATATAAATAACTTGACTTAAAAATAAACTTGACATAAATGGCCATCACTCTAGTACTTTTGCAATAATATGCTTCCTAAAACATTAGGAAGCATATATTTATAAATTCAATATGTAAATATATATATATATATA